TGTCTACTACGATCACTTCATGACCTTGTGTCATAAGTACATCTACCAAGTGTGAGCCCACGAATCCAGCTCCACCGGTCACCTGAAAGATAAAAGTTTGGAATAAAAATATTGATAGAATGTACCTAATAAATATTTCTATTTCGTTTTTTTGCCTATACTAATATTATAAAGAGGTAAAATTTGTAAATTTGTATGTAGGAAGTAATCTTTGGAGCTGGTTGCATTACCAAAATTCTTTAACTGATAGATAGCTACAATGGTTCTGATTGCTGTAGGTACTGTAAGCTATAAAACATCTACTATCATATGGATACGAGGATACGACCCAGAGGGTAAAACCGCGCAAGAGCAGCTAGTAGAAAATATTTAAAATGAAAAAAAAAGTTATGCCTCCCAAACAACCTGGACCCTGTGGTCTCTGTCCCTGTACACTTCATAGTTGGTGTAGGGGCTGAGAAACAGTTTAAAGAACACAACAATAAGTAGTACATTATGGTACTGGTGTAATATTGGTGATCATCGCGTCTTAAACAGCCGAGGGAATGGAGAGAGGGGCACTTCTGAATAAAATAATAATAAGTACTTAAAATAAAAAAAAACCATTAAAAGAGAAAATAATCAGTTATCCTGCGTTTCTTTTTTAGGGCCTTGCGCGTGTAGCATTTTAGCGCAAATTTAAGCGTAACTCAACCAAAAATATAAAAAGAATCTATTACTGAATCATGAATAATAGCAATAAAAAAGTCACCATTTGATTATAGGTGTCATCATATACCTAATTGCCATGGGATTACAGCCAGTGTAATACCCTCATTAATATAATAATTTCAATGACTCATTAATCAATGTAAATAATATATTTTTAACACAATTCCTTATAAAGTGGCTCTTTTTAATTTTTTTTATATTGTAACATCAAATTAATTAATTTTTTACCTAGGAAGCTACCCAATTATTTCAATATTTCAATAGTGTGGGAGATCTATGTTTCGACACCACTGAGCGCCTCACAGAAAACCAGTGCGAAATAACCACAGCACTGTTTCTCAAAAGAAGTTAAATCAATCATAGCTTTGCTAAAGTTTTTATGTGCCTCACATGGTTTTAGTTATTCTTATATAAACTAAATTATTGTGATGTGTAAAGACAAGGGCCACTGAAGTAACATGTTTACAAACTGGTTTGTTATCATCATAAGATAAAAAATAAGGTCATTTATTTTATAAAACAAACATTAGCTATTGCTATGAAATTATGAGTGATTGCAAACTTTTTTATCTATGTTGAATTTTATACCTATTGCAAAACTTCTTGCTTTTATGCAAACAACTAGGTACAATACGGCCGTCATATCTTGGCGAGTCTGCAGTTAGCTGTTTGTCTGCACAATGGTTCTTTTAGGAACAAAATTGTGTACTGTGCAGCTAATCACCACTAAAACTTAAACGTAACTTCAGACTCGCCAAGATACATTGGCTGTATTGTAGAAATTTACTGAGAGAAACCTTTAAGAGTTCTTAGAACAAAAGAAGGAATATTCCTGACTCTTGACTTGACTGTCAAATTTATAAATATGTTTAGCAGCAGAGCTCACCACAATAGAAACAAAAGTTTAATATAAACCTTTTTTATCAATTATAAATAGAGTAATAATAAGGTAATTATTGTAAGATCATACCAATATCCTCTTCCTTTCCTTATAACCCAGAAATTTCACATCTGGGTACTTCTGTGGCATTCTGCCCTCTAATATTGCAATTTTTTTTTCTAATTGATCTATTCTTGACCTTGCTTCCTTCAGTTCACGCTTTGTATCTTCACTGTCATGTTCCACCACTTTCTCCTCCATTATATTTATTTTATTAAATTTATCAGGCTTAGGCAGATCATAAAATTGTACATTTATTTTTGGGATATCGTCATCCAAGATTCTTTGGTTCACTCCACTGTTTTCTTTTGAAAATATCAAAAATAAAAGAAGCACTGAAAAATTAAAACACATGGTAATATTATTTTGAAGAAATTATATTAAAGAATGGTATGAATGGTAATGGTAATATTATATTAAAGAACAACATTTCTTTAATATAATATTACCATTACCATTCAAGGTAGTGTATGGAGCTATGGAAATATTTATGCTGAATATTAAATCAAGAAATAAGTAGACTATAAGAAATAAAAAATTGCAAACAAGTCCAATAAGATAAAATTCAACAAATATTTTTAACTAAACTGTTGAGTCTGCATAGTCTCATGATAGTTTTTCACAATAATCATAGTAAGCAAAATAATATCGATGGCCTCTTTACTATCGATTACTGATGAAATGAGTAGTTGAAACTAACGTTGCTACCAGAGATGAATGTTAAGTAGTCGTACATTCGATAGCCTTACAAGGACCTTGATTTTATAAACATGTACGTGTAAAACGGTCCAGTAAGCCAATGCAAACCAAACAACTAGAAAGAAAACATTATCAACGAGCGGTGAGCATTCGTGTAAACTTATAAACAGATTGTACTGTACTTACGTAAAATAAAAACACCAAAGACTGTAAATGTCTTTCTCAATTTCATATATTGCCATAACATTTCTGAATTTACTATTATATTTTTCTGTTCACATTGCTAATTTTATATTAGTATTTTTACTCTTTACGTGGTTTTACAGTGAACAATTGAAATAATTAAACAAATGTCATATACATAGCCCATTCGATATTGACAGATTTGACAGCTGACAGCGTCACATTCAGCTGACTGCCATCTTTTGAGAATAGAGATGCTCGAAACACAGACAAAATATGAAGTCCGTAAATGTCGGCACCACGTCCGAGGTTCATGTATACAAGCATAGAGTCTGATATGGTGTAGAGGTAGGAGCTCTAAACCAGTAGTGTCGCGACTACAATAGTGAGAAAAAGTCCATCGTTACTTCCATTCGTTATTTGGAATTGTCAAAACAATTTATTTGCCAAAAATGATCACACCTCTTTAATTTTTTTTAGTGGTTATTATATGTTTCTGACACTTGTATGCCTTTTGATGAAAAGCATTATGACGTCATTAAGGCAATATTTCATACAAGACCAAGACTCGTATATAATCGTTTTTAGAAAATTCTATACAAATATATCTATAGACGTCATCCGCAGAATATTGTTTTCCATCTACTATGTGTGTCTCCACAGTTGTAAACAAGAACTAGGGTATCGTTATTGTTAAGGATTCAAATTAGAATTTTTGTGTTAAAAATAATGGGCATTTTAAATTAAAGATAAATCTCAGGACAATTTTCAGGATACGCTTTGACTACGACTAAACAAGAATAACTAAAAAAGCTGAAGGTTTCAAAGCTGCGTAGACTTTAAAACCTTTCTTTCAGATTTACATTTGGTTACAAGAATGACGCACATATTCATTCTTTAATTATATTATATATGTTATACATTATTAATAAAGATTTCAGTACATTGTCATACAAATACATCTGAGGCGAAACTCACTTGAAATATTATAGGAGTCTTAACTTTAGCAAGTTTACATTTTGAAGAGCCGAGCTTCAGACAAATGAGCCTACTTAACCGGCGTGATATCACGGCCTCACAGAAAACTAGCCTAAAACAACACTTAGGTACATTTCGCCGTGAGAGTGAGGTTACTGGAGGCCCAATATTCCATCCCCTCCTATCCTTTATCCTTAAATCCCTTACAACTAACAAGAGGCCGGCAACGCACTTGCAATATCTAACTCCTTTGGTATAAGTGTGGGAGAGCCATGCTAAGTGTGGGAGAGCCATGCTTCAGCACGAATGGGTCGGCTCGACCGGAGTGATACCACGGCCTCACAGAAAACCGGCGTGAAACAACCACAGCGTTGTGTTTCGCCGTGTGAGTGAGGTTACCGGAGGCCCAATCCTTCCCCTTCCCGGACCCTTCCCCAATCCCTAAATCTCCAAATCCCTAATCCCTAAAAGGTCGGCAACGCACTCGTAACTCCTCCGTTGCGGGTGTCCATGGGCGGCGTTGATTGCTTACCATCAAGTAATCCGTCTGCTTACCTTCAGGTAAGAAGTATACTCGTTTGCCGACTTATCCCATAAAAAAGCAATATAATTAGGATTCGGTACGATATATATTCTAGGGCAAGAGCCAAGGTAACATTCCTTTCAATGTAGGTAAGTATTAAAGCGGCCTTACCTTCCATTATTTCCTTGAAGCAGTCAGTTTTTGACTCATTTAACATCATTAAATCGTTAGCTATATTAAACTGGAAGCCTGAATTTTATTGCCGAGTATCTATGAAAACCTCATTTTATCGTCCACGTTAGAAACCGCTCGGTATTTAGTTTTATACTATTATCTTAAAGGAATAATATAGCTAATACATCTATGTACACTTATTTTCCTTTTATTAAATTAATTGGGTAACTATAATTTATCTAAATTAATACTTATGGATAACAAAGTTTGCTATTTTACCTGTTGACAGATTGTGTTTACAAAGGAAGTAGTTACCCTCAAATGTAGGTTTTATTTCTGTATTTTTTTTTATTTTTTTTTTTAAATCAACGATTCTGAGGATAAATTATACCTATTTCCCTTACTTTCTCAGACTTACCTATCTAGCTAGACTTAAGATATTTTGTACTTCTTGCAAATTAGTGTCAGAGCTAATCACTATTATATACTCATCAACATCATCAACTGGACACTATAATATTTATATACAGACATATGTGTAGTACCTATTCTTTCAGTGAAGATCAGGAAAACACGTTGAATTAATTGCGATGTATACAGTTACGCAATTAATTCAACTTATCTACCTAAATTAGATAAATCTAGGTAGGTTGGGTGTTGTATTCAACCACATATATATGTGGTTGAATACAACATGATGGAGGTGATCACCGTACATCGCTCTCATTCCTAGCTAAACTTTTCGAAGTCTTAATAGCATTTTCTTGTACTTTGACTTATATTATTATTATGCAAACAGGAACTGAAAGCTATTCGTACGCATATAAATATTACACGTACATATTCTAACCATAACTTATTTAATGACACTTCTTCTTTGTAGGTCTTAAGCAACCGGTTCGGATATGTGCAGGTATATCCGGTTGGTCACTGAAAAGACCATCGATTCCTGCATTGAAATAAGCAGTGATCTCTTCAGCTAAATTACCCAGAGCTGATGGCGTGTTTGGGTTCTTTTTGTTGCGGCTGTCTTTCGGCAGGAAGAAGTTCTCTGCACGGAACGTATAGGGATGAACCTTCAAACCCACCTGATGAGCATCGTGTACAAAAGTTGTTGGTTCACCCAGATTGTTTTCTGCGTCACGAGGAATTATATAACTCTTATCCGGACCTACTGCATACGCGTACTTTGCAACTTCTGCAAGTCCCGCTGGTGTAGCCATATCAGCGTACGTTGGTGCGTTTTCTTTTCCTATCTGGTCGAAGGGTGTCATATCTGGACTATCGTATAACTGTAGGAGGCGTATACCAGTCATCTGCTTCAGTCTTTTTAAGTTGTTTATTTCAAATGACTGAATGTATACAGGCGCGTGGGATCCTTGGTAACCATAGCTATGAAGGGTATCCACTACCAATTGTTCCATTGGCAATCCGAGTGACTCGAAGTACGTGCTGTGTTTTATTTCTGGGTAAAGTCCAATAACTCTATTTTGACTGGTTTCCAAGCCTTTGACTAATTCGATGATCTCTTGAAACGTTGGAATCTTGAAGGCACCATCCATTCTGACATTTCCTGGCCTGATGTCTGGAATGCGCTCTACCGCATTTAGGGTTTTTAATTCTTCAAGAGTGAAATCTTCCGTGAACCAACCGCTCATTTCTTTGCCATCTATAGTTTTATTGGTGTATCGATCGGCGAACTCGGGATGTAACGAAACATCAGTGGTTAAACCTAATTCATTGTCATGTCTTGCTACTAGTTTCTTGTCTTTGGTCATGACTAGATCTGGTTCAACGTAGTCAGCTCCCATGAGAGCTGCTAGAGCGTACGAGCCGAGGGTATGTTCTGGCGTGTACCCGCTAGCGCCGCGATGTCCGATTACCAATGGGTGACAAAACTGACTGTCATATTCTAATGTAGATTTTACACATTCTATTTTTTCTATTATTTCCGTTGGTACCCCAAACGCGACCCCCAATGTACAAAATACAATCCATATTCTTCGGTCCATGTTTATTTTCCTGTAAACAAATCGATGTAATAATTATTATCGGGTCACAGAATATTGTGTATCGTACAACAAATTGTATGTTTTTCAATTTTCTAAATAACGTGGGACTACTACGTTACTATACACTAGTCCTCCGTTCGTCCTGTACCATGGTTACTTTTACAAACATACAAATGCACATACACGTCACACCTAAACCATGGAAAGTAATATTTGGATCACAAAAATAACTTTTCCATGCAGGAATCGAAACCGCGGCACATCGACAGTAGTCATGCATCACGCACTCAAGTTACTTAACAAACTCGATCATCCAATGTATGTTATATCTAGGTGTTTATAAATACATAGTTAAATAAAGTAACAAAAACAATATTATTTAAGTACTAAAACAAAATGACTATCATAAACACCTTGCACTCACAACAAACTGGTTTTATTATCTAGTCTAGTCTAGTCCTAAGTCACTTATGATGCTCGCTAATTACGACCTGATTTGATTCAAACGTAATTTCCTTTATTTAAACATTAGTCACTCTATTAACGTGCCAACCTAATAGTAATAGGCATTAAGTTAAGTGAAGCGATTAATAAAAAAAAAATATATTGTGAAAATAATAATTGAGATAAAAATAAAATACTTACATTCAGGCCCGTATCGTAACGCGTTTTCAACTAAAGATTCACAGATGGCCACAGGGCTTGGTGACAAGAGGTGTGGCTTAACGCATAGTAAGTACAGGCAGGTACTAAAACTTTACTTCGACTAAACGAATATTTATATATAGCGTCACGACTACTTCAAGTGACATACATGAGGAAAATATAAGAGGAAGTCTTGCAGAACATTTGGAGACCTGTATCGAGTGTCCGCTATAAACTGGTCAATGATGTAAAACGGTTACAACACGATCGTCCAAAGGCCGAATCGGATACTCACTAGATCAAGAAAACATGTATGCACGCAAAGTTCCTTTTTAAAACCAAACAAAGAAAAGTATATAAAGGTTTTGCCCCACTATTATGTACATATTGTTAAGTAAATACAGTACGCAAACGTATTTAATTTTCAAACGTATCTCCGCTTAAATAAGTCTGCAATTGGGTTGAACGTATAAAACAATAACTTATTACTTTATGTCTTCGTTGACGTAATTTGTTCTTTCTTAAAATTGGACATCGTGGCTGATTATGTTGGGTACGTATTTTGCATTAGCATATTTATTTTTGTAAATTATCTACCAATTTTCCCTTTTGAGTTTTTGTGATAAGTTTTTATTTTTAGTTTAAATGGTATGTTAGTCATTGACTATCCAAATGGCCTATAAACACACTTTCCTTTATTCGCTATTTTTATACTACGAATTCCGTCACCTACATTACTTAAGTGTATTTTTCATGATAATCGCCGCTGACTATGCGTACCCGCAGCACTACTAGAATTACAAGAGCGATATTGATCTTTGAAGATTTGGTGTACGAAAGAGTAGTAGTAGAAAATACTATATTATTTTATTTTAATTATAAATGTAATGCAAAAAATGTTTATACCCACGTAAAGTGCTATTTTTCCTTACGACTGTACTAGGAACGAGTGTGTCCTCCTACACTTGAGATAAAATTGAGAGACATACATATCATATCATTTTAAGAGATTTAGTTGTAGGGCGACCAGCCTATTTGATATCTGAACTTCGGATAAATGATGTCACTTGCCATCAAAATGTTTTTAATAGAAAAGTAGTTTGCAAGCAGTTAATGAATTGTAGGACATGGGAGATAATAAAAATGGAAACGCAAAACCAATATTTTGGAAGTGTATTATTCTTCGAGCGATAATGCAGGTGACGGAATGCTAACGATTGCCATTTACATGGAAAGAAAGAGACCGATCAAAATGGATACATAACGTGAGGGAAGGAATGAGAGAAAAGGGGTTTGTGTCATTTTGAAGTTTTATAACAAACAAAATTTTAAGTGTGGGAGAGCCATGCTTCGGCACGAATGGGTCGGCTCGACCGGAGTGATACCACGGCCTCACAGAAAACCGGCGTGAAACAAACACAGCGTTGCGTTTCGCCGTGTGACGTGAGGTTACCGGAGGCCCAATCCTTCCTCTCCCCTGATCCCTCCCCAATCCCTTTATCTCCAAAACACTAATCCCTAAGAGGTCGGCAACGCACTCGTAACTCCTCCGTTGCGGGTGTCCATGGGCAGCGCTGATTGCTTACCATCAGGTTATCCGTTTGCTCGTTTGCCGGTCTATTCCATAAAAGAAAAACAATGCAAGAAGAGGGGCTATTACGTTTTACGCTGACTACAAGGAACTTACTTTTTCTTCTTGCGCCCTGCGTGAGGTGAGCATCTGACTGTAACTGACTAAAAACCGGCCTGTGCCAGTCCTTCTCCTGCTCCAACCCGGACTTTATGCGACTCCAATAAAAATTTGGATTATGGGGATGATGAATGACCATCGAGACGTCGAAAATGTAGCTACCTCATCAGGAGTCTCATGTTTCGATTTAAGGTCGTGTTATTGATATTTTTAAGATGTTCCTTTTCGCTGGAATTGACTATACGATGTGTGCCATCGTTTATAAGTTCCAGACAATTCCACTCCAGACAATTCCACAAATTCCACTATTCCAGGTTTTCGAAAATGCCAAGGTTGTAAGCGCAATGCTGTACTGCAGCTCGGCTCTGAGCAGGAGAAGGTACAAGATGGTTCATAGACAGAGGGAATTTTTTTTCTTTTTAGAATACGTTGCCCCACACTACGATTTTCTCCTGTGTCGTGGGTGCATTTACAAACATACAATTTCGCATACACATGACACCCAGACCTGAAACAACAATTTGTGGATCACACAAATAGTTGGATAGTCTCTCTCGCCCCACCCTATACAGGAGAAATCATAGGATGATTACCTTTAAAAAAAATATGGCAATTGTATGTTACATCCTTTCAAAATATTATTATGTAGGACTAGCTTTTGCCCGCGATTTTGTCCGCGTGTAATAGTGGCCTTTCTCGAGTTCCAAACTATGTCTGTACCAAATTTCACACAAATATGTTCAGTAGTTTAGGCGTGAACAAAAGACAGACAGAGTTACTTTATACTTTAGCATTTATAATATAAGTTTGGATTAAAACAGGGAAGGAAAAATACATGTTCAATAACATTTTTTTAACTAATACAAAATAATAATAAAATACCTAAAGGATAGTTTAAGATGGTGTTATTAGTAATAAATATTTTTTATCGCGTCCGTCAATCATAATATTTAAACGTCGCGGTCGTCGTGAGCTCACATTCACGATCAGTCGCGTGACGATCATGTTGCTTGTTGGTTTTTATCTTAAAAACCTTGTAGATATGTATACGTAATATAATATGTAGGCGTGTACTGTACGTGTAGTGTGCTAATTTAGATTAGGTGCCAATACTACCTTCGTGTAGTAGGCATGTCTTTCTTTTCCTTGGGTGGAGGTATCCGACTATCAGACACTTATTGACAATGTAAAAAGCCCCAGCCCTTTCCTTCTGCTCTTTCCCGGGGCAGCGATACATTATTGCCCCTGTAACCCAACCTTGCATAATTTTTTGGAGTTCAAAGATTTATTTAAAATGTTATTAATTTTTAGTGGGTAGTTTATTTGTGACGTCACAATATGACAACGTTAAATAAAAAATCGATATTATTTTGAACGTTGCCCTACTCTAGCGTTTATTCACTGTTCGTGTCTTGGGCGCGTTTACCCACTGGTCATATCCATTCCCGGATTGTGACACATTCCTTCTCGTCCTACCCTGGGCGAAAGGAGGCATTTCATAATTTCGCCCCTTAAAAAGCAGGACGTCCAATCAACACGGCAATCAAATCAATGAAATTAATTTAAGTATAATTTACAAGCTACTGCTGTGCTGCTCAGCTCAAATTTATCGTAGCGTGATGTTTTAAAGCATGTAGCACTCAGAAACATTGTAGCGGCGTAATCAGTGAAAGAATTTTGGCAATCCAGCCAGCGGTTCCAAAGTTACCCCCGAAATACAAACTTACAAACTTACCTCTTTATAATATTAGTATAGAAGTAAGTATAGACAAATATTTCTTTGTTTAAGTGAATTGATTGAAAATTTAAATTAATTAGTTTTTGACTAGATCCAATGAATAAGAACTTATACGAAAGTGGCGCCAAGTTGACGTTGAAGTAGACTACAAAACGAAATTCATCATCATGTCATGTTGTGTTTCCTGTTACTGATATTGTATGTACTCGTAGATATGTTGTCTATTTCCAAGCGGATTTAAGGGGATTAAAGGAATTAAGTGCTTAGATATAAAATTTTATTATTTTCTTAATAAGATTAAATTACACACCTATTCTAAGTAATTCGACTAGAATAAATTAATAAAAATTAACATGTCTTATAGCTGTTGGCTAGCATCATAAACTGGTATTTTTCTTCATCTAAACAGTTTTTGATTATATGTTAACCAAAGCTTCCCATTTAACAAAGATGTTAACAATTGGAACTAAGTGTCGAGGTAGCCACATAAATGGTGAATACACTTATAAAAGTTGGTAGTACCTGGTAATACTAGGAGAATAATTTGCCTATCTTGATAGGCAAATTATTCTTCTGCCATTACCAATCTTAGTTCTTAATGAAGATTTTATTAGACTTTCGATGAAGTAGCCATGTTTTTCTTTTGGTATATAAGTTAAACAGTCGTCGTCTTGTCAATGACAATTACCACGAACGTGTGCAAAATCATCAGGGTGATCTGTGAACAAGCCATCTATTCCTGCAGCAAGAAATGCTCGATACTCGCCAGCTGCATCTCCGAGAGCGGCCGGTGAGGGATCGTCACTGCGGAACTCAGCTGGTAAATACACGTTTTCTGAACGGAACGTGTACGGATGCACTTTGAGACCAGCTGCATGAGCGTCCTGCACAAAACTTGTTGGCGTACCTAGTGTTTGATTGGCATTGCGGGGAATTATATAACCCTTGTCAGGTCCAACCGCATAAGCGTAAGTAGCGACCTCTCGTAACCCTTCAGGGGTAGCCATTTGAGCATACGTCAGTCCTGTTCCTTGCACCGCTTGATCAAATGGAGGTAGAGCAGGGTTACCCGCGAAGAGTTGAATCAAGCGCAGGTCTGTCATAGTTTTCAGTTCTCTCAAATTGCTCACTTCAAAAGATTGAATGTAAATAAGCGATTCAGGTCCCCTGTAACCGTTACTGTGTAACAAGTCTACTAAAGGTCGCTCCATGGCCAGACCCAGGCGTTGGAAATGAGTGCCGTGTTTTATTTCAGGATATATACCAATAGGTCGTTGTAGACTTATTTCTAAACCTTTGGTCAAGTCAATAATCTCTTGCATGGTAGGGACATCAAAGGCTCCATCCATTCTTGTATTACCAGGTCTAATGTCGGGTATGCGTTCAATTGCACGGAGAGTTTTGATTTCTGCGAGAGTGAAGTCTTCAGTGAACCATCCACTTACTTGTCTACCGTCCACCATTTGTGTTCTAAAGCGACTGGCGAACTCTGGGTGATCAGCCACGTCAGTGGTCAAGCCGAGCTCGTTGTCATGTCGTGCGATGATTTGGCCATCTTTGGTCATCACGACGTCCGGTTCGAGGTAGTCGGACCCCATGGTGGCTGCGAGTGCGTAGGCTCCTAATGTGTGCTCCGGGACGTAGCCGCTGGCACCGCGATGTGCTATTAGCAGTGGATGACAAAGCTCACTGTCGTACTCCTTGTCACCGTCCTCAGTTGGCTCAGATGTATCAGGTCTGCTTTGAATGATGCCCATAACAATAGCAGCGGTTAAGCCAGCAATGCCGATAAGTAACAACACCAACAGTAAGACTGTACGCCTCTCCATCATTTCTTTGTTTTATCTGAAAGTAAATTTACAGATTATTATTTTGTATTCAGTACACAGTTAGTTAGATTCAATCGAAAGGGCCAGTGGACAATGGATTAGTTCAATTAAAAAAAAACTAAACTAAGATATTTTAAATGCTGTATTTGTAAGTACCTACACAAAATCTGACCAGTATATAATGTAACAAATAAGAAAATACATCTTTACTTGAGACACTCGATCCTTTTCATTTAAAGCTAAATGCTTGCAAACTAAACGCTATTTATCACATCAAAAAGGGAATTGGAATGAATTTCCACCTACACTTTGTCTTGTGACATAGGTATCTCATCAGAATTAATTCACTACCTAGGTATCTTCAGTACCGATTTATACAATTATTAAAAAAATTAAATAACTCACGTCACTATTACCGCTTAACGAAGGAACCACACGTCTGTTTACATTATCTTACAAATAAATAGTATTTGCCACCCATAAAACTTTGTACAGGTATAACAATACGATAGCACACACGAGGAATTAATACTCCTTTGATAAGGATAGATAAGGAGGTTTTATTCCATATTTTTTCATATTCTTAGTCTGTATTCTTTGTCTTATACTGTTATAGTGTCACACAAACCTGACTAGTTTACTAAATCTGTGACACAAAGACACACACAAGTCAAGGCAACTTCCGGAAATGAGAATCTGATTTGATCGCTGAATCTGAAAAACTTAAAACTATGTTTTTTTATTTATTTATTTATATATAAAATTTATGTGTGTACAATGGGGTCTTATCACACAAGGTGATTTCTTCCAGGCATCGCTTTGGCAAGAAGCGATGAAAAATTGGGGCAGTTATCGTATTTTTTATGCGATATGTTAGCCAGGATCTACATTAGATAGGTACAAACAGGAAAACATCGAAAAATTTAAGTTCGACGCGTCTCAGGAACATTAATGACTCTCTAATATCACGTTACGAAACAAATTAGAAGATATTATTAGAGAACGAGAAAATTTCAGTTAACTCTGTGAATTTAATGCAGATGACAGAAAGACTTGTCCCTCCGACAGGTATCTACCGATTAACGCTCTTTTTTTAATTTAAGAAGAAAGATTTAGTAGCAAAGTTGTTAGGTACAATGATTTTAGTATTATTTTTTATTGATGCCCCTTTATTAAAACCTACGTACCTACTTTGTACAATCACTATTATTTTATTAAATCTAGATAACTTCAAGAACATTGTTTATAATTGCTGATACTCATACATTTAAGAGGTGCAAATCATTCATGTTTATTATATAATTGCTCAACTAGTTAGGTACACCCCTCCGCTGCAAAATAGCATTAATAATAAAATATATAATAATAATAACTTAGATGAAGAAGCATAATTATATCGGAACACTGTTGTATTAAATCCAGAAGGTGCAGCATTAAGAAACAAACGACACATCAATGACGTCATACCCAAAATGAAAAAGACAGCATAATCATCTGCTCTTTCACTTTGAAATTGGAAAACGTCGACTACCAAAGAGACTAAGGACATCCATAAAATTGAAAAAATGCAGGTGACAACTTTGTTCAGCAGTGGACGTACCTACTCCGAATGTTAATTGTGGTGAAAATATGATAACAAACGAAATTAGTACGAATTCTAAAATAACTTAAATAAAAAATATTCTACAGGAACCAAACACTTTTCTTTCTTTCGAAAAGTAATTATTCTAAACGCCAAACGCCAGACTAATAATATCTGCATTTGCGGATCTGCGTCAAACAAAGAACAGCTTAAGAGAGCCATCCTACGGCACTAATGGGCTCGACCGGAGTGATACCAAGGACTCATAGAAAATCAGCGTGAAACAACCACAGCCTTATATTTCGCCATGTGTGAGGTTACCGGAGGCCCAATCCTTCTTCTTTTCCCCCAATCCCTAAATGTTCATAACCCTAATCCCCAAAAGGCCACCGCACTCGCAACTCTTCTGGTGTTGCAGGTGTCCATGTGTGTCCAGGTCCGTGTAAGGTAGGCTACCGAAGGTCCAATTCTTCCCCTCCAATCTCTAAATCTCCAAAACCATATCCCCAAAAGGTCGCCAACGCGCCTTTAACTCTTCCGTTGTTGCGCTGTCTATGGGTGGCGTTGATTGCTTACCATCAGGTAGTCCGTCTGCTCGTTTGCCATCCTATTTATCACATTTAACAACATTCAGATTAGTTTAAGCACTCTAGGCTAAACTTTAATTTTTATTTCATTGTTTGTTTCAAGTAATTAATACATATATGTGTGAGGGTAAACTTAATGCATTATCGTCGTGATAACGATACATTTATTTTACTTGTATTTTCGCAAGGGCAGAAAGTAACACTATTAGTACCTTAATAGTTTTTGCCCGCATTTTTTTGTTCTATTCAACTACATACGTACCTACCTACTTTGTGCAAGATGTCGTGAGTTTATTTATGGTTTAAATTGTTAATAAGGTATAATATCGACAAAGACTTATATTTTCCAGCCTGCCAAACATTGTTTTTGGGGTTATCGAATTCCGAAACTTCAAATGCGGTCGGTCGACCGCATTCGAAGTATTGAGAATTTTCAAGGGTATTGAGAAAATAAAAAATGCATAAGTACAAATTCGTACCATACCAATACCTATTAACAGTTAGCAATGTGACTGGCTTTTTATAATTTTAATAGACAATAATTAATTATCTTTTCTATCCCTCAAACGTCTCTTTCTATCCTTCAAAACTGTGCTGAGGTTTTGCAAATTTTTGTAAGCTGTAAAAAATTGCATGAAGGGGGTTATGCACAGTAAAATTTAGCTGTTTGTTAACCATCTATCCTAGTAGGTACACATTATTGCAAAATAAAAAGTTTTAATAAAAACAAACGCATCCCTCGGGGCGCGCCAACCCTCGCGGCTGGTGTGTTGACACTGAGATTTTATTGCTAGGGCTGCCGCGTTACTTTGTTGCGTATTGGTCATTTAGGAATTGTGATAAAACTTTTTAAGCTTTTTAGTTTTTTAAGTAGAAGGTATTTCAACTGTGTTTAGTTTAATATATTATTTCACTCAATCATCCGTAGGTATCGCAATACTTTCATCATATCAATTTCTACTTGAATTATGGCATGAATTAAGTATTCATGCTATGTGTAAAAGTAGATACAAAACCAAATAAGGAACTTATTATTTTTTATTTACTTTTTTATTCTCCTCTAAGTAAGTAAAAGATATCTAACAATAAAATTGGTAACTTTTATTGATTCAACTTTTAAAGTATAAGTAGGTAAATTTCATAGATGCCTGCTTAGTCAATAATATTTATATCACATGATTAGCATAATGTCGTCCATCGAACAATAATTATGTAATAAGATCTAGTTCAGGTGTTCCCTAGGCACTTTAAATTTCAAAGTTTATCTCTTTCTTTATCATCATAATGAGTTTAAGTTAACTCTTTCATATAAATGTAATTAGGTTAAAACTTATTATTACTTAAAACAACTGAGATAGCTGTATAAAGTTTGATCTTTGTTTTTCAATACATTTTAATTTATTTAATCTTTAATAGAACGCTGTTACTAAGTAGATGAGTAAAATGTATAATGTAGACTCAGACTCGTTCGTAGTGAGAATGGAGCCAGCAACACGTTGCAGTATAGGCTTTGGTTATGAATAAAAATATACTACGTGTTGAATAATAAAGTAAATATTTCAATACAATTCAACAATAACACACGGAACGCATGAAAAAGTAACAATAAAAATGGTCTAACTTTTTCATCTGCCAATATCGTAGCGCCTGTTAAAAAACTAATAGATATCTGTTTTAATGCTCTAAGTGAGAACTATCCACCTTACTAAGAGTTTTCTGACAGGCATTAGAATGGAGTTTATAAAATAAGATAATGCTTCTGCCTTTTTAACAACAGAATATCGTTTGTGTCGTGAGTGATGTCGAAAATATTTATAAACACATTCTGACTTTTTTTATAATATTAAGCAAAACAACATCCTATTTTTTGTAGGCATACCTAGGCAATTCTTGTTTATAAATTACCTACATAATACTTAATTGGACGTAAAAAGATAAACACTTACTCAGTTGAAGCACGTCATAAAAACCCAAATATGTTTGCAAAACTATTTTAAACATTTTCCAATTACTTTTCTGTTAGGGCAGCCCTGGGTGATCGTCGTTTATAGGGATACCTCCGGGATCTCTATGCGAAATTCGTTTGTTTTTTCTGTGTAACCCTCTGCCACAGAACGGGCCTCTAATCCTAGTTGATCGAATTAATAAAGTTTGTCGTTAATCATTATCGTAAGCTGCGAATACGGTATTAGACATTGATTACAACGGGGTGAATGGATAAGTCGACTTTATTGCGTTTTCAAGATTTAGAACCAAACAATGAACTGTATTAGGTAATTTTTATATGTTAAGTTTTTGTAGGGAACTTTAAATACCGCTGATATTCGACTGAGTATACTTACTTAGGTAGTAATTTTGTTCATGATAGTAAATAAAATGAGAGTGAAGAATGCAATATCGCATGTACTACTAATACTTAATAAATCTGCCCTGAATTGATTTGACTACAAATCAATATTATGATAGCTCTTGGTTTGAAAATAGACAATGAAATTTGTAATTAGATATTACTTAGTGTAAAACTTATTGGTATAATTTTGTAAGTAGGTTATAATTATGTAAGACTTGACCGATTGTTTTTTTATAATATAAATATTTTATTATATAGATTTATTTTGTTATATAAATTTAAATTAAAATTAAATTCTCTTTAAACGTATACGTAGTTAAAGCTTTCTTTGTTAATAAATTAGGACTGAACTAAGTACCTACCACGATATGTATCCCACGATAAATTGAGTAACACTTCCCACATTAAAACCTCCTTTGGGACAAACACAATAGACTACACCTAGTTGATTGAAGTAAACAAACATCTAATATTCTACTGTATCTCTAACCTCTCCCCAGAGGCGAATCCCGAACCCCGAGAGATAGTACCCCAGTCCCTCTCATACTATTTCCCACTAAGTTGATTCAATAAACATGATCTATTTAATACTATTTAAAGGAACATTCCAACCCCTTTTGGAGCACCATTCACTTAAAAGTGGATTGCAATAAATACTGTTTTCTAATAAAGCGATTACTGCTTCATTAGGTAATTAGGGATGCGTAAACGACCGCAAAGGACTAAATCAGATGTCGGTGCATTGAAACAGAATTCCTACGTGCAATAGCTGAAGCCTAGTAAGTACCTATGTTCTAAATAGCTTCCACCAGCGGTTTCGCCAGCGTGCTGTGTTGTGAAAAGCAGCCAATAGCAATAGAACAAAATCGAAGTATAGGTACGTGTTATTAATCGTCTCATTTTTATGGTTACATCTACAATGGGCGTAGGTATACTCTATTACTATACTAAGTCTCCACTATCGGTCCGTCCATAGATAGTACTAATAGGTAAATATTACTAATATTTCATAAACCCTAATTATATTATATTTTAGCGCGGCAACCGTTACACAATAATAATTCTTATAGCATGATTCAGTGTTCACATG